CTATATAAATACATTTTTGCGTCGCGCTTCCTTGTTTATTTGGATGCGACTACGGTCCGGCTTCGTTTTCAGTTAACTTGGCTCCTTTCTCATACCAACACCATCACTCCCCAGAGCACACCCACACATGCTGGCAGCACAAGCAGACCATGCACACCCAGGCGCTGCTCAGTTGGACGGCGGCGACAGTTTCGTTTGGCATTTCGCATGCAATTTGCGGTTCATTGATTCGGAAGTTTTCCCATTTAACTTAAGCCTCTTTAACCATCCTATTGACACAAATTTCTACTTACCGTTGCCGGGGTACTTGCCGCCGCATCCGCAGCCGTGGCACCGATACTGGAAACGATACAGATGCAGATGGGGCTACCGACACCGATGCGGAACAGATGGCTTTGCCGCAGGTGAGTGCCTTTGATTGTCGTCCACCTCAGTGTCCACTTAGACGGCACATTTCTCCAGGCGTGCTGGCTGGTGAGTGAACCTGCCCGATAATTATAATAATGTCAATGGCCAATGGGTGAAGAAGATGTCCCCAACTATCATTCCCTAGTAGAAGGGTGAGATATTAAGAGTTACTTGATAAGGGCTAAAAGCCCCTTGATCTTTTGAACAACGGAATTTTCATCATTAATGAAATAATAAAATCTGATTTTGGCAGTGCGACTTGCAGTACAGTTTTTGTGTCGGAACAATAAAATATCCCACATTTCTGAAGCAAATATGCACGTAATCTGCGAGTGTTATTCCGCTTGAGGAGAGAGCACCTCTCTCCCACAGGAGGAAATGTCCCAGGGGAGTACTTACAGCCGCTGGAAGAAGATCATCAAAGTAACCGATTTGCTTGGTCGACCAGCCAGCAGGCATATCAACAATAGCAGCGGCAACATCATCACTATCAGCAACATCAATGAGCTGGCCATCAGGGAACTGAGCAACAAGGGCAAGGACCGAGTAGCCGGATTGGATGCCAAAGGACTCACACTCAGATCTTGAACATAAAAAGAAACCAAAGCGCTGCTCCAAGGACAGGTGCAATGTGCAATCTTTTGGTATTTTGTTGGCTTTGCACATTTGGCGTAATGCCAAAACACAATATAAAAGACGCGGGCGGGGGATGAGCAGCCGGCTGAATGAGGGACAACCGAGCCGAAGGTGGGAAAGTCTGAGGCAAAACAACTGCGGCAGACGATGAAAACAAAAAGACAATGCAAACTTGACTCAACTCAACACCTGAGGAAGGCAAACACTTGAAGTCGCGACGAGACTCCCACGCGATGAGGGAAATGGGAGCGGGAGTCTTCCGACATCAGCACCGGGATGAGCAACAAGGACGTGCATTCATTCAAATCGACTTCAGTGCGCAGCTTTTGCCCCTCACCCGGCTCTTCGAAAGGAATTTACTTTAATGCACAGACGGGTCGGTCGGGTCGGGTTGGTCGTTTGAACCGGGAAACGTTTGCAGGCACAGTCTTACTGACCTGGAAGAGATGAGAGGTGGACACGGATACGGAAACAGCAATAGAGCTGGAACAGGAGTTGGATGTCGGATCCGAGGCCAGAGGGAGTCGATTACGGGTGCGTGTGGCGCGCCAAGATGCGGCTGCCTGGGTGCTCGTACTCCACACTACGCGGACCTTAACGCCCAAAGTGCAATCAAGAAACACAACACAGCACACAAACAGTCAAAGGAGCTGCATCTGGATCTGCATGGAGCCCGGCACGGAGGTGCTGAGCCAAGTCAACACGGAGTCTATAATTTTGGTTGTGGTTCCCGTCTATTGTCTTACGGCGCCCTGCTTCGGTTTGAAAGGTTTCCCCTGCATCTTAGAGAAGCCCCCGTGCTAAGAGCAGGTCCGTCTGCAGCTGCTTGGCTGGTCCTGCTCTTGCTGCTTGGCTAAGTGGGAAAATGAGCCATTCGCGTGCAATACTGAAATCGGAATCCTAGTCCCTCTTTTCCCTTTTTTTTATGGACCTTATTTGACTCGTGGGTGTTGGACAACAGCTTTTAAAGTTGACCGATTCTTTCCTAAACGATTAATAATCCCCAGCTTTGAGGTGAAAACGTTGAAAGTGTGTAGAATTTAAATAGCCAATTAAGCTTTTATTGGATTCAAACGTAATTTAACCGTTCAATATTGTTTTGAAAATTTAAATATATTTTTGAAATAGTAAAATTGCCTATATCTCGACCTATAAATTTTAATACCCATGCAAAGGGAAGGGGAAAGTTTAAAACAGACACACTTTTTTTAAGTTTCCGATGACTTGCAAAAAGGTGACCAAAAACTGCACTTTTGGAGTCGATTACTTGCTCAACTCGATTCCGTATTCAAATTTCAAAGAAAATTTTTTTCTTAAAAACTTTCTTAAAAATAGGAAAAAGACTTTTTATTGTTGTTTTTCCGAACGACAACAGCAACAACAATTGTTAAGTTTTTAAAGGTGAATTTGCCTTTGAGTTCCATAAAGCAATTTCCTACAAAAATAGAAAACCAGCCTTTGAATAAAAAATGCTACGAGAAAGAAAAAGAACGGTAAAAGACGAAGTTGATGACGTCGAAGTCGGCGTCAGTCGGTTGACTGTGCCGATCATACATACACACGTATGCAAATAAAACAAACCCCTAATTTTTGGTGCCCAGTGATCTCGCATTGAGTTACTTGGCCTTGTTGGTGCTCGAATTTAATGAGAAAGAGTAAATAGAGATTGAAAGTTATATTTATTTATATTCATAGTTCATTTGCAACTGCATGGCCAAATAAGCAACCAGTGCAGATCTTTGATATGAATATAAATATATGCATGTGTGTAAATACATACATATGTACATACATACATAAATGTTTTTGCAAGTGTCGAATGTGTTTTTAAATTGTTTAACATCTGTCTGAGTTTGTCTGTCATTAACTTTCTGTCTCTCTCTTCCTTTAACCATGGTCATACAAAATTTTCTAAAGTTTATATTTGTTTAAGATCTTAAAATAATTTTGTTTTAGAAATTTATAGAAATGTTGTTAACTATATATATACGTACTCACCTTTTTTTCAGGATCCGCAGGTGATAATTTTTTCTCAACCTTTTTACCACATGTACTTTTAACTTGAAGGTTATGTTGAATTTACACCTGCAATTTACCGCGCACTTATAGAAAACTTGTGTTCCGCGTTCACTTTCCAACATTAATATGATGCAAAGCAATAAGTATCTATTTTTAACTATTGTTGGGGAGAGGGGTGGCTGCTTTAGGCTGGAACAGTAGGTTAAACCGATTCCCACGTAGGAATTCGGGAAAATTTTTGGTTTTTGCGCGACGTGCATGTGTTTAGTTACACTTGTAAATAGGAACTGACTTGGAGCAAGATCGATGCCTACATCGAGAGAGAAGAAACTGGAATGTTGCTTAGACTACAACAACATGTTTTGTTGCCAGCTGATAATGCTGTGCTCTTTTTTTTTGCAACTGTGATGCTTTGGTTTCTGCTCTCGCTTATCTTCTTCTTCTTGCATAAAATAACACTTTGGAAGCAAAATCTTGGAAGGTTGGAAAAATGCCATTATTGTGCATTTCTAACGAGAAAGGAAGCTAACTGCCAGCTGATAATGCTGTGCTCTTTCTTTTTTTGCAACTGTGATGCTTTGGTTTCTGCTCTCGCTTATTTTCTTCTTCTTCTTGCATTAAATAACACTTTGGAAGCAAAATCTTGGAAGGTTTGGAAAATGCAATTATTGTGCATTATTATAGCTGCCATAGGAACTATCGAATAATTGAGCTGCAAATCATCATAGCTTCAATGTTTTTAAGCATATACGCAAGTTAATTATAATTTTAATGTTTTCAAGAATATTTAATTTTTGCAATAGCTGCAAGGGTATATGAACTTCGGCTTGCCGAAGTTTGCTTGCTTTCTTGTTTAATATTTTTTTTTTATTCTTCGATATAAAGTAATGGTTTATTCTTTTAGAATTAAGTTTTAAATTTGATATAAATCGGACGACTATATCATTCAGCTCCCATAGAAACATCGAAATATAAAAAAAATTAAATAAAATTTTTTGTTTTTTTTTCTTTGAACATAGTTATAAATTATTAATTCAGAGCTACGCTTTTTATTTTATTCAAATCGGAAAACAATCCCATAGGAACGACCGAATAATTCAACTTAAAATCATCATATCTTACATTTTTTTAACATATACGCATATAATTCAAAATAACATAATATATTTTAAATAATATTTAAATATTGCATAAGCTGCAAGGGTATATAAACTTCGGCTTGCCGAAGTTTGCTTCTTTTCTTGTTCACTTTTGTTTGAGTTAATTTTATAGAACATTAACTACTCTAAAAGCTTGTGGATTAATTCTGTTTAATTTTGAATTAAATTTTTTTTTTAATTTGAATATCGTCTGTCGTCTTTGTTGATTTCAAAAGTATTCTAAAATTTTGAGGATATGGAAGAAAAATCGTTTGCATGCGTTCTCTGAAACGCCGACCAGAGGTGTCAGCTGAATTCGTAATTGAAGGCGACTATCTGCCAACTGACTCCTGCCGAAGTTGACTGCTTTCTAAGCGTTCTAGCGGACGTCGAGTGAATGCTGCCGCCGGATTTGAGTGAAAGCTTCACTTAGAGCGCCTGCGCCAGATTTGAGTGGATCTCAGAATTGTGGGTGGCGCCAAAGTTAGCTTGAGTACTTTTCCAACTTGCAATTTTTGCATGTTTTTTTTTATTTATTCCCGCACAGCCGTTTGGCTCGAAAAATTTTCCAAGGCTTGGTGGTCGTTGGGTATGAAAATCCTAGTAAACCCTAGCAATAAGCGTTATATTCATAACTATATCAATTCCTTCATATGTTTAAATGCCCTATACGGATTCATTAATTTTAAAGTGATTCAAGCCGCGCGCCAAACTTGCAAATTACTACTGGTGTTACCAGCCACTGCCCATGAATATCGATAGACGCTCTATCGATATGTGACTTTTATCGATGCAGTTTTTCACATCGCTACCCCAATTTTGGGGTCCCCAAAATAAACAACGCAAGGAAAATACAACAGAGGCGCGCTTTCAGCAGCTGGCGCACTGAAAACCACTAGACTCGGTCCCGCTTGCATCCCGGCATGTCTTGCCGCGGGAGGTGCAGCGCCTAAGCCCGCGCAGCCGCCGCTGGAGCGCCCTGTCCGCCACGCATTATGCAAGTTGCAGTAACAGTAACGGACCGGATCCAACTGTACCCGAACAGCCGCCAGTGGAAGTGGAAGTGCAAGAGGAAGATCTCCAGCTTAGTGCCCATGACCGCTGGTCCGCAGGCACTGCCGCCAGCAGAGCAGTCCACACAATTGGTGAGCAAACGGAACATTAGAACCTAAGCTGCCCTAAGCAACGACTTATCCTTCCGCTTGCAGACATGAACCAGAGACATTCCGAACCATTCTACATATCGCCACGGCTGTTCGACAACAGGCGGCTCAAGCGGCGCCGCTGTCGATGGATGGAACGCCTGCGGGAGCGCCAGCGGGTCTGCATGGCCCAGACGCGCACCCAGGCCCAGGCTTCCAAGACTGACCGTTTGTCCCAGCAGCAGCGGCGCTATATGGCTGCCACTCTGCCCGCGGACGTAACCATAGACTTGCTATCAGATGACGACGACGACCTGGAGGCGGCTGGACCGTCCACTGCCGCTGGCCACAATCGCATTCTGAATCCTTCCCCCTGCCGCCCACACGTTAGGCAGCGACGGCATAGAGTGGGTAGGAGGAAGGCGAGCACCCACTCTTACACTGTGACCGAGAGCATCCTGATAACCAGCGACGACGAGCACAACATCCAGGAAGCCGGACGCCCGCAGCTCTGCATGCGCTCGCCGCCGCCCCTTGCACCGCTCACCCTCTCGGAGACCATCGAGGAGATCACCGTTTCGCTGGTGCCGCGCAACTCCACCACTGCCAACTGCCAGTCGCGGATATCCGGCCATCTTAAGCCCTGCCCAGTGCTCAAGGCGGCCACCAACGGGGAAAAAATTGCCGGAGAAAGGGGCGGCAACGATACGAATTGCTTCCTGGAGGTGGATGTGGGCGGTGGCGTCTCAGCCACGCTGGCCGACGAGACAACCGTGCATACGGTCATCGCCAACCGCATATACGAGCTCTCGCTAAGCAAGCTTCGGGAAGGCCTGGCCTCTAGTGGAGTGCCGGAGTATACACACGACCTGCTGCCGGAACAGCTGCAGAAATTGTCGCCGGCATTGCGCGCCAAAGTGGCACCGCTGGTGGCGCCCTCGCCGCCTACGCCCATCTCCCTAAAACTGTCCAGCGACCTCAGCATATCACTGATCTCAGACGACGACGACTGCGAGAGCAGCGGCCCACATGCCAGTGGAGGCGGATTTGGTCGACCAGCCGAGATGGTGCATCCTGTCGTGGTGACGGCGGCGGAGGCACACGCTGCTGCGAAGTTGCTTAAGCAGCAGCAGCCGCAGCTCTCGGTCGTACAGCACCTGCAGTACGTCGGAGAGGGAATCGCGGCACCCGTTGCTCTGGCCCTCCCGGTGATGGCGCACGCCACCGCGTCCGCTTCCGCAGTAGCTCTGCCGCTGCAGCTTCCGCGCCGCCGAAAGCTGGGATGAGCCTAAACTGTATTCTGATCCTGCTACCCATCGCCATGAAATCATTCCCCGAGCCGGACGTGCTGCTCAGACTTTATCTAGCAGTGGCTAGTAGTGCAAATATGAACTTAGATTTATCGACAACCCATCAGAGTTTCCCCTATCAAAACCGTGCCAAGTGATTTTTCGGACGTTTTTCCTCCCTTTATCTTTCCGTGCCACACGCTCCCCATCACACTCTGTTTCCCTTATCTATCCCTGTCTCTGTCTTTCTCATATTTTAAGCTTTAAAAGAAACGAGACGACAACGTACAAAAGAAAGTAGAAAGACGGTTAACCATATATTTGAGCAAAAAAACATTTGTAACTTTAATAGGAAGGACTAGAAAATTTGGAAGATGAACCCAATATCTATACCGTACAGTTTAGATTAAGTTATGCATTGTGTACATTTAATTAAGTGGACCGTACGTGGGTGATTCAACACGTGTTATCCGCCGCAACCCCCATTTAATGTAACTGATCACTAAATCGGAATAAACTTTTATTGTATATAACTGTTCACAGAGAACTAGGCCTTTTCAAATTAGGAACACTGGTCATTCTTAAAAACCGGTTTATATCAAAGAAAATAAATAATGGACCTCGATGAATCGAGATTTTTAGACATCGATTTTCAAATTGACAAAGATGTTTTTCTAGTAAAAAGTGAAATAAACACTGCCAAGCTGTTTAGACAAACATTTAAAGGGGCTACATGCATTTTACGGTTTAAAAAAATTTAATTTTTTTGATTAAAGTCTATAACATCTCTAAAATATTGCCCTTAATTTTCAAGTTTATACGATTGAACTTTTTGGACTATCTATGTATGCTTCAAACTTGAAACGTTTTTTTATCGAAACTGTTTTAATGTCGGTTGTCAAGATTTCTCGCGAACTACTTAAACGAACTTAATGAAATTTTGCACAGGTATTCTAGATATAATTAAAAAGGTCCTATTTTTTACTTTTGATGATCCTGCAAAAAGTTCTGCCGTCAACGCGGAGATACCTTTTCCAAGGGACTACGAGAACTGACGCCGTAATAGCCATGTTTAAAATATATTTTTTGAAATTTCACATTTTTATTGAATAGAGTATGTATCTTTAAAATAAAAAAAATGTTGAACAAAGTATTTAATTTTGTATATGAAAAAAAAAATGATTTAGGAAATTGTATGAAAAAGCCCATGTAACCCCTTAATACGAAATACCCGATTTAATTTAAAATCATCCCAAGTTATATCCTTAAATATTGCAAAACAACTTTATTATTGATTTTCTGCCACTTCTGAAATAGTTTATCTAGGCCAAGTTGATAAACAAATTTAAATAACACTAACTGTTAAAGTAAATTTTGTCAAAAATGCTGACGAAAAGAAGAAAAGTATTTTTTTATTGATGCTACATTAGCATAAGACCACAATGATGTCTGGCCAGTATTTGTCCTTGGGGACGTTTTTAGACTCCTTGGTGCTTCCAAGCCCGGCAATGTCTTAAATTTAAATCAGATCATAATGCAGTTACCATATTAAGTGGGTTACGCTCACTGGTCATCCGCTGGATCGGACTTGTATGGGTTTTCGCGGATCTCATAGCCAATTAATCGTGGATACCGTCCAGACCCGAAAAGTCAAGTGATTTTAGTGCGTTCCCCACTACCTATAAGCAATAGTGTGTGTTCAAAGGTCCGTTTGAGCTGTAAGCAAGCGTGTGTGTTCAAGGTTCCGTTCGACAAATGACAGAAACGCGTCGCTTCCTTTTCACTGGGAGTTTACTGAACAGCGACTGTTCTCCGACTAATATTTCGTGGGTAAATTTGTATCGCGCCAGATGGCTCATAATGTAGAGTGAACGTCGCGGTAGGAGCAAATCCGCGGAGTGGCTAGCGGTATCTTTCGCCACACGTTTCATTCGCATAACGCAATCGCTGAGCAGGCTGATTCCCGCGGTGGTGTGGCCGCAAAACTGTACATGGGAAAGATAATTAAATTTTGGTACATTTCTATTAGCTCGGCCAAATCACCCGAGTGCTGTCCACGTGAGGCTTAATCCCGCCAACCTCTGCAAGGTCCACAATGTGGACGAAGGGCATCACTTGGCCTCCGCAAGCCTCTCTGCAGACACGGTCCAAAACGGTACGATTGTGGGGTGACCACTTCCTTCGTTGCACTTCACGGTATCCATGAATCGCCTGTAAATGGCACAGATGGCATCAGAGGAACCTGCCCTACTACTCATACCCACGTCATCCCAGTGGCTTGACTCGTAGGGCAAGCGGCTGATGTGAGGCTCGATTTCCCGTAGCAGCCATTGTTCCTCTTCAGCCGTAACAAAATCGCTGATGACCCGCATATCCGCTTGGAACTGTAGTTTTTCTATACCAGACCACTGACCGGCGTACTCCACCAAACTAAAATTACGCCACCTGACACCCGGAAACTTGGGTCCCGGAGGCGCTAGTCGTCGTAGGAGATGCATATTGCGTCACTAGCGTTTAAAGGACTTCCATCAATCGCTTATCGATAGGTGTCATTCGATTAGCACGCGCGTTTACCGTTGTACCTTCTCAAACCGGTCGAACAAGGTCGTGAGTTTGCCCGGCAGCAAAACAAATCGGGCTGGGCACCGTTGGAATGCAGAGATGCCAGGCTGTCAGGTGACTTTGCTGGTCCGGGAACACTCGCTTTCCAGCTAGTGCCCACGCATGCGCCGGACAGGCGCACCACACAATCCGCGTTCGGCTAGGGCGGAAACGCTTTCCGGTGTAGATATACCAGAAATATTTCTGCTCTTCAGCCGTTATGCTGCGGCGGTGGCTGAGTGCTGATATCTGAGTGCAGAGTGTCGGTGTCGAGTGCTGGTCGCAAATCGTGTCGAACGGATTTTAAAGACGGTCGGTACAGCTATGAGCTGTGCGGCCTAGATCTGTTAATTGTTAATCGTTCCGGAATCGGCAAGTGCGTATCATTTGCAGTTGCAGTCCCAGAAAAAGCCAAAAGCACCGCCGGCGGTGTCCCAGTGAGCCGCGCACACACCCACATGTGCATAGGTACAGACAGGTTGAGATCCTCTGGGAAAACTTCCCGGAATGCAGTCAAATTACCGCTGACGTGTGCTAAAAAGTCAACAACCCATTTCAGTAGACGTTTCTGACCCAAATAGAGGCGTGTTCGGGAGATACGAGATTGATCTCTCGGCACCGCACTTATATCGAATCAAAAATTCCTTTAGTGACTCGCAATTATGCCAATGGGATTGTGGAGCGTGTGTATACACAGGCACACAAACACAAGACCGTGTAGTGCGTGCACTGAAAAGTATACCATGTTCTGAATGTACACATGTCTATTCCTGTTCCTCCATCCCTGGAGCTTTTGTTTGGGAACAACAGGCAAAATGTATACATGCTTACTTCATGCGGGGCGATGTTCATAGAGCCGGGTGAGGAGTGTGCAACAACGTCAAACTCAAAAAAGAGATAAAATGTCACTTCCCAGCCGGCATAGTTTACAAAACAAGTCCAGAGTCCAGATATAGGGAATCTGCTTTATTAAGTGCGTTAAAAAGGTTTTTAATTCCGACGGTCTAACTTTTACTGGCTGTCAATTGGACCGCTTACGGATGTCCCTGCATAACGTAATCTTTGGTGTCCAGTTCCAGTTTCGTCTGCAGTTCCAGATTCAGTCACGCCTTCTGCTCGGTCCGCGCAGCAGAGTTTGCGCACGCCCGTTATCTTATTCTTCCGTTGCATGTTTTTTTTTGCATGAAGCGCTGTAATAGGTTCCTTTCCCCACACCCTCTTGACAGTTCGAGGATGTGGGCGAGCAGTTGCTTCCATTGCTAACCAATTCGAGGGGGTTTGTCTGCATCAAAGTTGAATGGTGTACATTTGCAGGTTGTGTGTGTGAGCATTAAAATGTGTTGTTACCGGTACCAAATGTAAACAAAGTCCAGTGACAAACATTGAATTTTTAAGTTTTTCATAGTCCTGGTGACTTTTCCGCAGTCGCAACTGAGCTACTGAGCGCCAGGCACCTCAGAAGAAAGCAGCAGGATGTTGATCCGCTGGAAGAGCAAGGATAAGAGCGCCTCCTCCAGCCAAAGCGCCTGCGGCAGCAGCAGCTCCTCCTCAAAAAAGAAACGCAAGGGACGCGAGGGCGGTAAGTATCCGAAAGCGAAAGCCAAGAAAAGAACGAGATAGAGCAAGCCATTAAGGCAGGACAATGCCTAACTCGGAGGTGCCTCTCTTTCAGAAGAAGATTGGCAGAATGACGCCAAGTCGGGACGAGTTCCTTCAAGCGAACAGGGTAAGTGCAGATGGCTTAGTTCCTGGTTAAAAGTTCACTGATCCGGACCTTCTACACATACTTCACCCAGTCGGCGACGAGAGACGTAGAGCCATGCGACGCGACGATCCGCGGCGCCACACGCTCGGTGGTGACATATTGGTGTACGGCGGCCCTCAGCACCCCCATGCCCATCAGATGGCACCCCAGCAACAGCGCGCCATGGACTTGGAGGTAAGATCGTCGGTGGAGAATCCGCACCATTAATCCTATTACGTTGCAGATGAGTACGCGCGCCCAGAAGAACAAGAAGAACCAGCCGATGCGGGGATATGCGCCCGTTAATCAGGGACCGCTGTTCGATGACGATCCGGGCATCATGTCAGAAGTGGAAACGGCCAGCACCGGATTCCGGAGGGGCGGCAAGCAGCGCTCTTCGCTCCCCGTGGTACGCACGCCATCCAAAACGCTGGAGCGGCCGCTGGGATTGGTTTTTCTGCAGTACCGCTCGGAGACGAAGCGCGCCCTGCTACCCAACGAGATCACCTCGATCGACACGGTGCGCGCCCTGTTCGTGCGCTCGTTCCCGCGCCAGCTGACCATGTCCTACTTGGAGGGGCCCAACGTGAAGATCTATATTCACGACGCCAGCAAAGACATGTTCTACGAACTGGAGGACGTGCGTTCGCATCTGCGCGAGATCCGCGATCGCTCCGTGCTTCGCCTCTTTGAGTCCACCGAGGTGGCGGCCCCACCCCAGATCCTGCCCGGCGGCCCTGGCATCCCGCAGCCGCTTCCCCCGGCACAGGCAAACTGGGACCAGGACCAGAGCTATTTCAGCGAACCGGAGTTTGACTCGGACTACAAGCATCAGCACATTCACAAATCAAAGGTAAGTGCCTGCTAGTTTGGTTAAAATATTCCTTTATTTAATATCACCGCGTAGTTGCTATGGTGTGGGGTTTAAGGATGGGTGTCCATGAGCGAGTCAAGGATTGTTTGGGACCATGGCGCCACTGTAAAGCGTTGACTCCCACATGGACATGGGAAAAGGTGGTTCGGGATAGAATTTGCCAACTCCCATCGAATACTTAAACGTATATACAAAAAAAATGGAATGATAAGAACTTGAGGGCTCTGGGGCACTAGATATTAGGATTATATCCGTACCCAAAGTATAACTAGAAGTTGCCGCACGGACCCACGCTAAGGCCCTTGAGTGCGTTGTTCATGTGCTCCCGCACATCCTTCCACGCGAATACGATGGCGCCCTGGAAGGGTTCCGAGTTGCAACTGCTGCAGATAGTCATTACGGCCTTTACCTCCTCCTCAGCAGGCTCTCGATCGTGCGAGCTGATCTCCTCCTCCAAATTCATCTTCATTGTCAGGTCCTGCTTGAACTGCAGGCCGCCAAAGTCAGCCAGGCCGTTGTAAATCTCGCTGGCGTCCGTCCCAAGTCCGTCGTCCACCACGGATCCGTTATCCAGCAGCACCAGACCACGCTTGTGCAGTTTTTTCTTGTCGGCCTCACGCTTGAACTGGATGTGAGTCTCGGTTTCATCGATAAACTGGACGTTGGCTGAGTTGCTCATCATCTGAAAGCGGTTGCCTCCGCCAGGCTGCAGTTGTCCCTGGTTTAAACCGCTCGGCGACGAGAGTCCCAGAAGCTGCTGGGCCACCAGTCGCGAACCTGCGTTTATCTGTCCGTTAACGAAGTTTGTATTGATGGTAATGGCCTGCTGGGCTGGATCGTTGGACCCAGCGGCAGCGGACGCAGGGGGCGGATTGGCCAGGTTGATGCGCACCCGTGTCGGGATCTGGCCACTGGCAAGCAGTGTGTGCATAGGCTGAGGTCGGTTAATCTGGATGCGGAGCAGGAGGAGAATGGTTAAGCAGAATATAGAGAACTGGAGAGATTTCCAACTCACTAAAGGTGGGGCACGTGTGGTGCTGGAAACCTCTAGGCCCTCGTGGTCGAAGTGATGGACATGGTGGTGCTTGTGATCGCGGTGTGCTTTGCCGGCACTGAGGGCCACTCGGTAGACTTGGACCAGCGTCATCTCGAAGTGCAGGCCGTGGCTGACGTCACCGGTGACCGAACTGCCGCCGGAGCGCAGTCTTCCGTTCGCTGGAATTTTATGACCCACCAACTGCCGAGACAGCAAAGTGGAGATGGAGATTACAGCATCTGCCATTCGCATGCCGAAATCAAATGCTCATGGCAAAAATGACATTTTGCAATTGGACGTAATTGGAGCCTTAGCAGCTCTACTTACCGAATTGTGGAAACCACGCCCAATGCGTTCTGCCTTTAGCCAGGCCTGCCACTCGCCCGTCTTGCCATTCCACGAGCTGCACATGTGATGCCACTGGCGCATTTTTAGTGGGTAGTTCAATCTGCGTCAGATACGGTATACGGTAAAGAGACCATTATTCAGCTGGATAGATTGACGGCTTGATCGATGGATGAACGCAAACGCAACGCTCGACTCACCTGTACATTTGCTGACCTTTTATGGCCATTGAAAGGAAACTTGAATTCTGCGCATTTGCGACCCAGATTTGCACTTCGCGTAGTTCCTTTCCAGCTGTGAATGCAAAAGTGGATCAAATTGGCTTCGAGACGCGCTTTCATGTCATTGATGGCGATGACTAGTGAGATTTTGCAATCAAGCGGAGGAGAATGCCCAACAGCCAGCAGTCATCGGCAGAACGCTAACCCTTTTCTAAATAAAGACCCATCCCATCCATTTCACTTGATTTGCCCAAGCCGAGTTAAGAGTCCCAATGAGCTCAGTTATACAACTGACGACTGGAAGTGCGCGCATGCAGTAAATCCTGTTAGGCTGCTGAGCATGTTGCGATATGCATATTTACATTTAAATGTGAATCACCGGCTGTGAGAAAAGCATTTCCTAGCGGCGCGCCGGCCCGAAATCCGGAAGTTCAAGTGCTGATCGCCGTCGACGCGACTCCCCGCTACTTGAATTGAGACTCGGGAATTATGTCAAATGCAAAAGCCAACTGCTTCAGCTGCGCTCAGAGTGCGACACCAACAATGCCGACGACATCCAACTGGAAACAGGTAAATTATCGCTTATGTAATGCGACCGCAACGACAACAACACTAGCGCCAATAGCTCAAGATTACAACAACAACCTCACAAACGGTGCCACCGTTTTTGAAAATTTTAAACGAGGAAAAACAAAGCGAATCTTTAAGGTGGCAGCCACCAGACTTAGTCAGTCAGCCGCCTTATCGATATCACACTCCTCATCCATCATCCAAGCCGGAGTCAACAAGGTGAATCCGACATCAGCACCATCTTCATCGCTGACCACCGAACTGAGCGAGAGCGCTAACGTGTAATCTTGGGCTGACTTGCATCAGGAAGTGCGCTTCCTTTCACTTTTGCAGGTGCGAGCGCCGGAGCGTGGCCCACAATTCATTGCCCACAGCGAAGGTCTATCGCTGGCGCGGTGGCCCATTAAAAGATCGACGTCCGTCACCAGTCGCCCTTCGCCCGTTTTCCGCTTATGCAACAAAATCGGTTAGTGGTCATTGTGGAGCCATTGTCTTGCTTGCCGCTGAAGCTAATGCAAGTCACGGTGAGAGGCTGTTCACCACCCAACCCGTTCGCGATCTACCCAACCCCACTCACCCAACAGTCACTCACCCTCGTAGGTTAAAAGGACGTGATCGCCGCTGTGATTGGTGAATCGCATCCAAAAGCAGATTGTGAATTGGTCCAGCTCCGGCATCTGGTTGCCGTACTCCACCTCGCCGTCTTGGTTAAAAGCAAACTTCTTGACACTGCAGCGTTCGGAACCGTACAGCGGAGTTCGCGTTAAGGTCGCCGGCTCCTCGGCCTCGATGCTGTAGGACTCGTACTGGTCCTCCACGTGATCTGCAAAGCTGATGGGGTGTACCACCGAGGCGCTCGAGTCCACTCTGCCCAGAACGGCGGCTTGGCCAGGGAGCACCTCTTCCCCGACCTCGGTGGTTTTCTCTTCGCTGGCAAACTGCGAGAAGCTGGCGGAAATTTCGTGGCTGCTGCTCGCTGTCCCCGGATGTGACTGCTTGAGGCTGTAGGCGGCTGTGCTGCCACTGATTGGCTTCCAGGCGAAAGAGACGGACGCATTTAAGAGCACAGCAATGAGCAGAGTTCGAGGAATACCCTGCGCCATTTTCATAATCTCGCCTTTTATGTATGTATCTCTAATCTGTATATGTCTGGGTCTTGAAAGTTTGGATCTTTCACGCGTCTGCAACGTCCGATTGCCGCGATGTCTCGCACTTCACTAATCATCCACGCATGCGCCACAGCCAGGTTGAGTTGCGCCGAAAACCCAGCTGCTGGCGTAACAATAACAACGGCAGCAGCTCTGCTCAGCTGGCCGCTCGTCTGGCTTAGTTGTAACAAATTGTAAAACTGTTGTATTGAAACCGAAACTGGTTGAGCTTTGTCGGCTGCGCTCGTTGTGGGGAGGCGGGGAAAGAGTAAAACACTTGCACTTGCTGCACTCCTGGGACCGCCGCCCAAGCCGGATGGTTCCATAATGCAGCTCTTATCGACAGTCGCTGTACGGGCAGAACCCATAGTTTTGCGAAACCTGACCAGTACACTAACTAGCTGGGCAGAGCCACCTTCGCAGGACGTGCTCTTGGCCCTCTGATCCTCAATAGTCCAACTCAGTAGAAAACACAAGAAATCTTTTGCTTTACAACGCTTCAAATTCGCCGAACCTCGCAAGGGAGTGGATCGATTTGATTGAGTGGTGGGTGGGTCAAATGTCAATTATAAGGTATTCACTTTGTCACGGCCCTGAGCCCAAGCTTGGGCTCACAAACAAAGCCACAGTCTGCACCGATGTTGCGCAGAAAAATATGTATACACTTGATCTTCATTCCAAACTTGAATTGCGAATTCCGAAAAATTTTAGTTTTGTTCCATTGTCATAGTATTTGTACTTTAAACAGTAATCCAAAATAGACCAAACTATGCTTCACAATACTAAATGAAGTATCAAAGATTGATTACCACCTTATAATAAAAATTGAAATAACTGTGTATTTAATACTTGGTATGGAAATATGAACTAAATCAACATATTGTTTGGATACAATCATTTTTCTCTCAGTGTGGTTACTCAAAAGTGTCTATGCGCAATTTTTGGGATGGGCCACAAATCGTCATTAAAGGAAGGAGAAACGATATTGGTTATTTCGCTACTTGAGCGAAGGCCAATTGGCAATGTTAAGCGAAATACCACTTGCCTCTGTCCCCGTCGCTGCCTCGTGCCTGCGGCGGTTTAATGAACTAATCCACCGTCTATCTATATTTCAGATTGGCAAACAGCCGGCGCCCTATTACGTGGGATCGTCGCAGACCCTGCCCCGCGGCATGTACTCATCAGAACGAAACAAGGTGTCGATGGGTGCGTAGCGTTGTCGAATCGACTAATTGATTTCGTATTCTTTCAATTCTTTCCTTTGAGTAGTGGACCTTTTTTTTTTTGAGTTGACCTATTCTACTGCACCGCCTTCTTGCTCACTTGCCGCTCCCCTCCAGTATTTTTTGGGGCCATGTCTTGCTTGTATTATGCTGTTTGGTTCAGTTCCCAGTCATTCCAATTCTCTGCTCCAGTAAAAACCTAGTCTAAATCTGATTCATGTTCCATCCATTAACCCCACACTTACACCCGAACACAAACTCAAATCAAACCGAACCAAACCAATTTGAACCAAACCGAAAAAGGAGCGCCTGTGAAACCACTCAGATCTCTCAATCCAAGGGGTAGCATGGAACCCCTGTTCCCCTACATCCCGGATCAGTTATACAGCATTCCAGGTACACGAGAATTTTCCTTTGTATCCATTTATAGCACTATACGTCCACTTTCATGTACTTGTGGAATGTGAACAGTCGCTCATAATATTCGCGCTTACTCGCATCTGATCATACATTGGCTTGCGCTTGCTTTATGGAACCGATAGAAAATCAAATACAAACTCAAATTTATTGTGCTAATTAACAGTGCACTATCCACACAAACAAATCGGAAAGCGTTTATTTATGCGGCCAAAATCATGCATCCCATCGTTTTCATTTCAAATCGATCTTTTGCGTTATTTTATTGCGTTTCGTTACTCCTAAATTTAACTTCAAAGTGTAATCAAGTACCGCCAGAGTACCAAGACCACACATACTTACTACCTACCTATCTGAGTTGCACTGCTAACCGAGCCAGTTCCTTTTGTAGACGGCTACACCAGTTCTCCGGAACGCGGCAGCCGCGGAAACTACGAGGAGCCGTACTACAGCCAATACGGCACAAGGGGCACTGTCGTGGCCCCCATCATCGACGAGGAGCAGAGGTGAGTTCAGGAGGAAGGAAGGTTTGTGCTAGGACTTATCTTTGCCAATCTGTGCTATCTACAGCGACGGAACCATGACCGAGGATCAGTACGCCCTGTACGGCATAAAGGTGGGACCGGGACCCAACCGCCTAGGCCACCGCGGCAACCAGATCTACGACCCCACTAGGTAAGCATGCTCCATCTTCTATCTCGCACGACTTTCATGTACAAGGCGTAGTCCTGCTCCAGCAAAATCCGCATGGGCGGCGCCTTGGGTAAATGCCCTGACCGAACGAAACTGCGCTTGCTTCGGCGGTATATCTTAATGCGCTTCACGTTGCCATTGGATGAGGTGGTGGTAGCCGTGGCCACCGGATGGAAGTAGGTGGTGCCCTTGCTCTTGATGGCCTGCACAATTAGGCAGAGCAGGTAGCCGCCGAATGAGAGAAAAGCCAAAGCCGTTATGCTAATCTGAAAGAGGGTTTGCAACTTTGACGGCTTCTGCTCGACCCAAGGATGCGGCGAGTGCCAGGAACCACTGGAGCCAGTGGTATCGTGCTCACCCCTGGAACGGATAGTTTATCACAGCATGCCAGCACCTGTTTGAAGAGCAGGCTTACCGATCTGCAGCCATCAAGGCCATACGCTCCGGCATTTGCGATCCGTGCACCTCCGGGCAATCCGTGGCTGACGTCGGAAAATCGCCCGAGTCCAGGGACTCCATTCTCAACACGGACTTCTTCAGCAGCAGCAGCTCGTCCACTTGGAAGTTTACCAGACAGCGGGCGAACCGCGCTGGTGTGCTGGAAACTGCCGGAGTCGAATGCGAGTGGTATTCATAATGAGTCCAGGGCCACTGGGTTTCCCAATCGAATGGAATTGTACATACCACTGCATGTAGTCATGTTTTTGCAGCCAGCTCAGTGGTTCTCGCACCGCTCCAACTTGCCTTCGATTGACGACTGCTAAAGCGGTTCGCAATTGTGTGCTGGCGGGGCTGTTGTTGCTGCTGCTTAACGGAACGGAGGGTATACTGGAACAGTTCGAGTGCATCTGGGTTTGCAGCGGTACGGTATGTTGGAGTCGAATCGCAGTAGGCGCCGGATGCATTCTCACCTGTCTCAGCTCGCGCTCCAATGCACTAAGTATTCCGACCCGCGTTTCGACTTCGACTCCGATTCCGGTATGGAAGCTTAAGCTTGGCTGCGCAATTGGATCAATTCAGTACCAGCGGATGTATGGCCCAGAAATCGCGGCGGCACAACTTGGAAACACGCAACATTTGGAGACAAGTTTTATACAGATTTCGACTTTTTGCTTAATTTCAGGCCCGAAGACTTGCACCGCATTCGCGTGGAGCACATGGAACGGCAGCTGGCGAACCTCACGGGATTGGTCCAGAAGGCTCTGGTTAACCAGAACCCCCAGATCGCTCCTCTAGCTGTGCCCACCCTGGACCCGAATTATCTTGTCGTGCCAACGCAGATGCAAGGTATGTTTCCGAACCATCCGAATTATTGGGTCCGCATCCGGATGCGTTGTAGATCTTGTACTCGGCACCCACTCAGCTTGGAGCACCGACGTTGGCATCACCGCCTGGCACCGCTTTGTAGAACTAATAATGGCGGGACAATCTCTTTTTGTTCGGGCAAAGCTTGTTTGCCGGTCCCTTCCCAATCTAAAGCCTTGAGCTTTTTTTTCTCTCATTATCTTATTTGTTCTCCACTCCACACGCTGCGCAGCCAATGGTTCTGGGGACGAGCTGTACATACGGGAGAAAGCTCCCAAACTGGGCAAGAACTCCTGCCGTAAGTGTCGCCGTATCTCTCTTCCAAACAGCCATCAAATTTCATGTCCTTGTCTTGCAGAAAAATCCGTGTCCTTTGAGAAGTCCGTATCGTTTAGTGATGACATACAGGGAATACCAAAGTCTCACAACCCTCTACATGCCGGTAATTCTATCACATTGACCTTTCTACCTTAACACTCAATATAAAAGTCGACAAACAAATTTTACATAATTAAACCTAAAAAAAATCTTAAATTTTTAAAAAGACTGTAAATGACTTTAAAATTATTATAACCCTTCAAGAGGATATTTAAATTTGAATTTACTGCAACGCAGTGAAGTAAACATTTCCAACCTTATGAAGTATATATCTTGTCGATCTAGCCATGTTTGTCAATTCTTCTGTCTACTCCAACTCTCATTCAGTTTTAAACCTACCTGGACAAAACTTTTTTAAGAGTCTTTCTAATGCAGGTAGAATAATAATATAAATATATTAAAAAATTTTTTTTATAAAAATCAAATTTCCGTTCGTTCAGCTGCCACATTTACGCATTTGAGTTGATATATAGACGTTTAATTAAATATAAAATTTTTTATAAGCTTCGGGATGCCGAAGATTGCTTCCATTCTTGTGTTTTTGCTTAAAGCCTTTCAAGCCTAAAAATAATTGCGGGTTTCTAAACACAAATTAAGTTGAGTACGAGTTTTGTTCTGAGTGTGGGAAAGTGGTGCGCATGAGTCGCTTCCTAAACCCAATGCAAGCAATGCGCGTATTAAGGCATCCGCTTTCCTCTTCCACCATTGCCACCCAATGCCCCCGAAACGGACACGATTTTAACAGCTGACACGAAGCCAACCAAGCCGGCAATCAAGTCGTCCACCCTACCACGCACCTCGTCACAAGGTAAGAACGGCTACAACTGTAACGCATGCATCAACCACGTTTTCCCGAGAAACTTCATTGCCTCGCCTCCCTGAGCGGTTTTTAACATTTTCTTCCTCACTTCTCTGGCCATCACAACAGAGCGCGACCGCCTAAAGCCTCCTCCGCCGCCCAAGCCGATTGTACTGGCCCAGACCACTCATCCCAATTACCGGGCGGATATTGCACTGGCCCCCGAGGTGTACAATCATCTGCGTGGCTTGCAAAAGAAAGCCAAGGATCTGCGGATGGAGGTGCGCACCTTACGGCGCCTCTCGCAGGCCCAGGCTGTCGCCGTACGCGAGGACATTAAGGGCACTTTCATGCGTATTCGGGCCACGCTGCTAGCGAGCAGCGGCAGCTTTTGGGACCACCAGGGCGACCAGGACGCCACTCGCATTTCGCGCGAGGAGGAGCTCTACAAGCAGGAGGTCATCCGCCTAGAAAAGGACCTGAGCGACCTGGAGGGGTCGGTGGAAAACCTGCGCGGCGAGGTAATTAACCGGCGCACCCGCGTCAACATGACCGCAGTGGAGGATATGGCTTTGGTGCTGAGTCGCGCTAGGTGAGTGCTGCAGTTGACCTATGATCGACAAATGAATGAGTCCTGCTTCCTTTCAGCAAAACTGTCGCTGAGCTGAAGCTTAAGTTCCCGGCACTCTCAAATGGCTTGCGCTGCATCCTGTCTAACGAGATGGAGAAGGTGGTGCGAGAAGAAAAGTTCCTCAAAGAAGAGCCCGACCGCTTGGAGTCGGCGCTGCGGCGCTGCAAGAAGCTGACTGGCACATTGGTGACGCTCAAACGGTTTGTAGCCCCGCCGACCACCTATGGCCATCTACCATCGCGTGTACTTGAGTCCGGACCGATGAGCTTTCTCTTTTTACCTCCACAGCTTGGCCAGCGTGCAGGAGCAACGGCTACCGCCAAACGAGCCGACTATCAGTGAGGAGCCACCGCGGTCCGCGGACATCTCGGCGCCCGACAAGGTGAGTGCGACACCCAAGGTTCAGGGAGAGACAGAGATCGTGTTGCTGCGACAGTTACAAAGAGCTAGTTCAAATCGAAATCCAAGAAAACGTTATAAGGCCCAGCCATAGCTCCATGTCCATATACCTATATACATATTATACAGCTACATAACGTGTCATGACTATCTTATACATATGTATAAAAGTATTGTTTCCACTTTTTTATCGCAGAGATTAGTTGCTTTTGTCTTACCATATATCGAGTTTGCTATGCTTTCATTTCGAACCCACCTCACCGGATCAGATCTGATCTTGTTTCTTTCACCCAAATTTCCAATCCTGCGATATTTTCAAGTAAGCATTATCGCATAGGTGCCAAAATGTGCCGCCTTCGCAGCGGTTATTCCGTAATTCCTCGTTCCCTATCCGGTTAAAGCGTATTTCTGGATATATGTGCAAGCAAAGTCGATTGAAGTTTATCCAGATTTTTACCTCGACCCCTGGCGGTGATTTAACAATTTAATTGGTTAAAAAAGTTAAAAAAAAAAAAAACCGAAATACCGAAATATACCGAAATATCGTTGATTATTTTATACAATTTCGTTTGTAGTCTTTGGTTTATCTTTTGTGCGATTTTTTATAAATAAGTTGCAATTGGCTGTTGTTACATAAATAGTGTTTTGGTTCATCATTCATTTCACAACAAGTTGTTCAACCATTCAACAAATTCATTCAGCGAGACTAACAGTATCAAAATTCTATTTAGTACAATCAATTCGATTTGAATGGTATCGAGATGAAGTCCAATCAAATCGGCACAAGTTGTAATAGCGCCCCACATAGCACCGCAAAACACCGTGAAGCTTCACCGATCCAGCCAACCGACCCGGACCCCGCCCTTTGACGCGTTATTTATGCCCTTGTCCCCTATCCATACTACTGCCCTCTGTCCCTCTAATTGTTCTGAGCTTGCCTTATTGGGTCTTAGATATTTTAAGACACAACTAACAACCAAACTTCACAGCTACAATTGCAGATACTTAAGAGTTTATAAGCAATAGAGTTTATAAAGTATTCTGTTGCTATCATCATCACATGCTGAGAACCAATAAATGAAAACAATCAAACAGAACACTACAGTTAATTTATAAAGCTAACGTCTTATAAAATGAGGTTTACCTTCGTTTTCTCTCTTTCGCCTTTTCTCAAACATTTTGAATATCGTTTACAACAACAACAACAACCCACATAGTTTAACTGGCGATGGAGTTCAAACTTCAAAGAGGCAATTACTGAGTAATGACTGAAAATCCAAATATAAAAGAACATTTACAAAATCAAACCGAAAAAATCAAAAAAAAAAAAATATATATATATAATTACAAAGCGAAAAGAAACATTATTGAAAAAGATGAAATCATAAAACTAAGTCAATTTTCTTTTTGCTAAACATAATTTGCTCTGCATTAAACATACTAGTTTATATTTTGTATACTATTTACTACTGCTATAAACTTCTAACTAAACTAATCCTCGTACTAAACTCGAACCCCATATCAAATCTCATCAAAGCTGTCCATAATCCACGAAAAGAACACTCCTAATAATCGCAACCCTTAAACCAACCAACAGCAACATAATCATGTTCGTATGTACATATTTATTATAAAAAGCCCGTTTGAATGACTGTCTGTGTGTACTTACCATTTAGAGCCCCATTCCACGGGTTGCGTCTCATCCCTCCTGTCTTAAATCCGACTTATGATCAACTTCCGGATAAATTTTAAAACCAGTATTCTCCTGTATCCACGTCTTCTGATCAGGAGCTTTTCCAAAATGATCATAATTAAAAATTTGTCAATCCAAACTACTAATTTTTGCTGGCTTTTCAATTGAAAAATTTGTTTTTAAGTAAGTTAATAACTTTATTCGATGGGATGGACGTACTTGAAAAATTTATCCACACCTATAGGTGTTTTCAAAAGGGCTCCTTTCATTGAGTTTGCTCCACTCCGGACTTTTAGTACTACCTTAAGGTTAATACACCCATATTCTTCGTGTCTCCGTTCCACCCACCCGTATCCGTAAACGTACACGGAGTTTTGTTTTCAGTGTTCGCTGCTTTGCAAATCTTCTGTTGGTGTTCGTCCCTGTTCTACATGTTGTTTTGTCTTTGTCTTTTCTCCCAAATCTGTACACTCCTTCTCGGTAAGCTCGCATAAATCTTGATTGTTTGTCTCTGATTCCGGTTAAATATCCTTCTTCAGTCATATGATCAATCATGTGAAATCATTCATGCGCTGTCCGAGACTTATCCTAGCACACCTACACACATCGAAGCCAGAAGCAAAATGATTTCAAGCGAGCTCTTGCTTGAAACTAATTTAACGAAACAGGACTTAATGAAACACGCACATCTACAGAAACAGATACAGAGTCAATATACAGAGATACAGAGCTAAAGATATAATATGGATTTTTAGTGAACTTCACTGGTTTGCTTTCATTAAGTGTTTCTATTTGTTCTATTTATTCGAATCATACGGACACTTTCCGCAGAAGAAAAAGAACTCACATAACTTTTAATTGATATTTTATAGTTGAAACCGACGCATATATATGTATATATACAAATATACAAATTAGAAAATATGTATCTATTTGTACCCCTGTTTATGTACGTACACACCAGCCACTTCCCCGAACCTCCCATTCCCTCATTCCGCATACCGAACCCTTAAATCATAACTACTAATAGTAGCTAATAACACTGGCTTACATATTTAAATTGACAAAATTCTGCAGATATCAAACTTTGATTTTCCGCTGCAGTTGAACTTCTTTATTCAGAAAATTACACTCAAAATTATGTTATGATACCATTTCTCTTTTGAAGTGTAAGTTAGGTTTTCACCTGTTTTTTTTAAATTCCATTCCTGCCTAATCGATTTCGGTCATCGATAGCTTATTTTACTATAAATAAAGCGTTCCTCGGAACTTTGTCGAGCTGTAGAACCTATATTAGGAAAGAGTTAAAGAACGTTATATTTCTAGCAAAAAAAGCTATCGTTGACTGAAATTAGAAAGGCTAAGCAGAACTGGGGATAAAATCTGGGAGTTCAACTGCACCGGAAAGTCTAGGATTGTTTTGAAGGATTTTTTCGACTTACATTTTTTGTACCAGTGTAATTTATCTTAAGCAGACAATCGAAGGTCCAATTGTATTGCAGTCAATGAAGTATGCAAACTGTCACCACCGTTCAGTCACTGTTCTCACTCATCGATTGTTGTCTTTGAAGTTTCAACAATCTATCAACCGTCGACCCATCATTAACGACCACATCAATCACATGCGTAACTCGAAAAGTGTGTTCCCTCATCCTCATCAGATTTAAAAACCAATTTAGCAATTAAAGCTTCTCATCTTGTCCGCCCCCTACTCAGCAGATTTATCCCTGCTGGGAGCGAAGTAATATTAAAGCCGAAGCTATAGGTCATTAGGCAGATCGTACTAAACTAAAGATATAATGCTGGTGAATCCCTCCACCTGAGGGAAGCGTGCGGTCGAGATGATGTTTAGAAACTCAGAAACTTACTTTATAAAAAGACACTAGTCCCAACATTACGCATCAAAATCGGTGAAGACTTCCTTAGAATCGTCATCTGTCGCATTCGCATCTCTCCCGTTTTAAACGCCGCCTTTAAAGCTATTTGTTCCTATTTACCATACCCCTTTACTCGTCCCCAAATGCCTACCTTACTCTGCCTTATATCGGCAATATATTGCTTACCATCATACCTTACCACCTTTTTCACCTTTGTAGAATGCTTACTTTGCTTGCTGCCTGCTTGCTATGTATGCCTAGCACCTGTGAATATTCATAAGTTTGATGTGCTGTGATTCATGGCGATAGATCATGTACTATTTGTAAGGTCATATATATGTTCGTATTGGTTTGATACAAATTTTGCTGCAAGTCGGCTTTTTTCACTGCATGATCCGTTCCTAAGCAACTGCACCTTTTTGATCGCTATGGCGATTGGTTTGTTTAAGCTATCAATATATTTTGCTGGGTTACCTGCGTATAAGATGTGTACATGTAATAATCAGATAATTTGCGAGAATATACATACTATATGTCCCTTTTGAGTACCTAATTACAGAATGTTTAAATGTGAGATGTTATCCGACTACCAAATACATATCATGTATCTTGCTTTGCCTTGCGGGAGCTGCATTAGAGCTTGTGTTTCACCGACAAATTGTGTGTTTTTGTAGCCAATCCCAACACCCAGGATGGGGTCGTTCGCTCTCAGCGGGGGACTCGCACCCGAAAACGCACTCGATGCTTTGCTAGATGAGCTCAAGACATTCTCCAAGCCCATTGCCCAACAACAGCAGCAACAACAGCAGCCACACCAGCAACTATACGAGGTAAGTGTGGTCACCAGGCCCACCATTCCCAACCGAACTCAAGGGGTCCAAGTTTCCTTCCGCAGATTCGGCCGGAGGATTCGGCATCCGATGAGAGCGCCCAGGCCGCAGTACAAAGCACAGTCACCACGCAAATTTCGCAGGCCCGTCTCTACACGGAGGCGAGCGTCAACATGCAGCAGGCGACCACTGGCAGCATGGTCATCGCTGTCGCCTCGGGCAGTGTGCCAGCTCAAGCCCAGCGCGGCGTGCTCATCCACCAGCATTCACAGTCGCAGTCGCAGCATTCCTATCAGTCCCAGTCCCAGTCTCAGTCCCAGTTACAGGCTCAGCTTATGGTGCAAACCAACATGGGCAGCCTGCGCCGCCTGCACTCCTACCCCAGCGAGTCGGACGGCGAACTGCAGGCCAGCGAGGCGGCACTAGCCAACGGTGGCGGCAGCAGCAAGCCACCCGTGCCCGAGCGAAACGCTGAATTGATCACCAAGGTGGGCCACAAGCGCATCCCGCCACCTCCGCCGCCACGCACCAGCTCACGCAGTCCACTGGCCAGTCCAACCAGCCCAAACATGCCACAGAACCAGGCTACCACAGCCGCAGTCAATGTCAATTTAAATGTCAATTTGAATGCCAATGCTAATGCCGCCGGAAACAGCGTCGTGGGTGACGCCATCGTGGCCAGCGGCGACACCTCCAGTGGGGACAACTCAAGCGGCAACGAGTCCGGCAACGACCACGTCCAGCGCCAGGTGGCGCTCGAGATGCGTCACCAGGAGCTGCTTAAGAAGCAGAAACTGCTGCAGGAGCAGTACCAGCGGCTGCAGCAGATGAGCAAGCTGCCATCGGTGGACGTGCCGCAGACGCAGGACATGGCCGGTGGCAGCAACACGCTACGCAAACTGGGCAGTGAGTCCAACATCCAGCAGAAGATTGCCGCATTGAGTCTAGCTTGTGAGGCTAGTGGAGCCGCAGCTGCGGCGGCGGCGGCTGCTGCGGCTACCAATGGTGTGTTGGCCAGTGATGCTACGAGAGGTGCGAACGGCGGCGCGCTGGGTGGTGGGGGAGCTGCAGGGGCGGCTGGTGCGGGCGCTGCTGCTGTTAACTCGAATTTGAATTTGAACTCCCAACACCAGACAGCTCCGACGACCACCAAACAGCTGTACGAGACCGAGATACTTTAACACAACTGGAAATTGGCGTGGAACGAAGCAAAAATCGACATTTAATCGGAGCGGTCAGGCGTCTGAAATTGAAGTTAAAATTTAAGCATGGGCAAGTCAAACCGAAGTCTATCAACACCACCTTCATTATTTGTGTGGACGTGGATTATGATTTCGATAAGAATAAGAATAAGAAAAAAACGTTGGCATTTACAGCCCCTGGTCGCTCGCACTCAGACATTATCAACGCTGACAAAACAGTACAGAACCGATAGTTATGAATGAATAATAACAACGAACACCATTTCGTTTGTCAGTGTGAGCAAAGGCTCACACCGTACTTGTATTTACTATCATCTAATTGTCGTACATAAATGTGTATTTGCACAACTCCAGCAGTTTGTTAGGTGTTGTCTTAGAAATCGCAACGCAAATGATAGGAATCAAAGCAAAAACAAATATCGAATCGAATCACAAAAACCGTGCATATGTGTAATACGTAATCACCATTTGTGCAACCCCATAACAAGTGGGCATGGCCCTATAAACACACCCAGATGAATGTATTTATGTATGTATTCGCTTACATTGATGTACATGTTGCATGTTGTGTTTTTGTTGTTGTTTCAATGAAGTTGCACATAGGTCAAGAGCAGGAAGGGAAGCGATCAGAGCCCCACCAAATTGCACAATACTACGACGCAGTCGAAGATTGAGATGGAACACAAAATGTTTTTCAGCACGAACACCCCCAGCACTAAGCCTCAATATATCAGTCTGTGTGGATGAGTCAATGCCCAAGCTGCACTCTTTGACCCATAGTCCAGGACCTAGGACCTGGCCACAACACCACAACCACACGTAGAACAAAGATTCCTCAGCATAGCCAAGCACAACGGCACTACGAACATAAACCGATTTACAATTAACTATTATGCATATGTACAGATTTACGTATGTACTTCAAATATGTCATAGATTTTTATTATTACCTTGGACGTGAGACTGATAGTTCTATATATGTAGCTCACAATATATATACAATATGAAATACGAATACGAAAATATTGTACTTATTTTTATTAAAAAAAGTGATTAGCTAATTTTATCCCCCACAAAAGTCATAAGCACTTCCCCCCCTCGAAGAAGGGATCTTGAGCTTTCTATTCTTGATGGGAGTTTCGGAGAGTGTACGGGACAATTCGGATTACCGAAGGTTTTATTACTTACACAAAGCACCTATCAAATGGGTAAAGGAGTTGCGAGCCTTCGTGCATATATATATGCATTTAACGCAACATGAAATATCGCATCCAATGGTGGTCGGTCTGGAAGGCAACCCAAAACCATATCCTGGGTAGTTGAACAGGCATTGCCTTATGGCTCAGCGACATACGGACACGGACGGAATCGTATTGTGTCCTTGTTCCTCCCTACCCGTTTTGGTCTTGATCAGGCTTTCGGGTATTTCAAAGTCGAGAGCTCTTGACTGCATTTATTTTTAGCAAATCCAAAAGGTACCCAAAATAGTACACCAGCATCCCTAACATATAAGTATGTACATATATTCCGATGTTTGGAAGGAATAATTAAATAATGTGGATAGACAGCTTGCACACTTATGCACAGACATAAATTTGTTATTTTTACTGCTCGGACAGCATTACACATCAGTATTATAGGCTAATTTACTTTTAAATTAAATTGTACCACACCAAGTAAAACAAATTTGTTGCACCTCTGTCACCTTCTTAAATTAATTAAACACAGTCATGTATTTTTTAAATTGTTCAATTTTGAAAGTCTAAATGAGGACTGCAGTTGAGTCTGCCGATCCCAATAGTTGTGGGAACGAGGCGAAACTACGTCGAGCGTTTTAGCATAAGATCTAACACCACACATAAAAAGATACAACATTTTGGAATATATGTATCAATGCCACTCACATATGTAAAAATTCATAGTTATATTATATGTATACCCAATAGCTCAAATACACCCGCAGGAGATCACCTTTCCAAGGCTTCTGCTGATCGTACTTTATAGACTAGCACGGTTAGCCGAATCTTTTATAGGGAGGCCGAGTTTAGATACCCAAAAGTCCCGGCGCGCACAAGGTGGTCCCGACGCACGAGCTGCCCTCTTTTGAGGACGTTATTTTACCAGTCGTTTGTCAAACGTGAGAAAGAAATCGGTTGCTATCTCTTTCTAGCGCTTGTCTCTGAAAAATTTATCGTCCTCGGCAGAGCTGACGGAAAAACCTTGTTTAGTTGCACCATCGACTTGACTTCAAGATTAAAATTTCAAACACTAACACCCTTGGATGCGCGCTCAAGACATAACATACACACAAAGACAAATAATTACCTAAGTTAGTAGATTTGTATTATTTATTTAGCGCCATTCGACGAATATATAACATATATATTTACATGCAAATTCACGCAACGAATACACATTTAAATAAACATATTACATGCATATGATGGTAACAATACGAACTCAAGATATTTAAGTATAAAGTTTAACAAGCGTGGCGAAATCAATGGCATCCTACACCTAACTATTATCCTTAAAAGGCACATCACACTTACACGACCCAATCTCCTACACCTACATAGGTATTTGTATCGCTTATAGGCGAGTATGATCAAAAATCAATATGCCTGCCCGACTGGGAGAAGGGAGGTGCAAAATGCAGAACCTCTGAATGATGGTAAAGCTGCATTAAACGAGTTTGAAGTGCGTATTTTTTTCTTAATAATAATTACTCTATTTAAATTACAACAATCCACAACAATAAATATCATTCGTAAAATGGACTCTTAACAAGACTTTCTCTAACTTCTTTTTTATGTTCTCTGCTGTTTTTACTTACATCTGCTAACTGAAAGCCTTAGGCAACGGTTCGATATGCTTTGTTTGCTCTGAACAGCGTTACTCTGTTTATATTTTCAGATGCAGCAACTACATTACGACAAGTACAAGTATATGCAAACAGTTCTTAAAGCTAGTAGACTAAAAACGACAACAATCGTTCACATTTACATGTAAAAGGCACAAAGTTCTGCAGTCGGATATAGATGTAGTACACGTATCGAAATACGTCCTGTCATATGTTTGTGTTTGTGTCACGGTCGAAGTTGTCCAAGTGGCCAATATAAAACTAACTGACCACTTTGCCCTTTTTCTCAATATGTCCTCGTCTCGTCGATTCTCTACTCTATGATTCGCACAGCCAGTCACAGGGCAACTTGGGCATTTTGCTAGCTGGCCATGGGAGATAGCCGGCCGTCTTGAAAACCCAATAGTCGTAGGACACCTTGGCAATTAGGGCTAGCAGCAGTATGATCTCGGCAGCTATTAAATAGTAGATGTAGTCGGTCCAGTCGGGAGGCGATTGGCACAGTTTAGTCTCTTGCAGCTCAATAACACTCAGAGGTATGTTGCGACAGCGTATGTCCATGTAGTCGGGAATGTCCGAGCTGCGCTCCTTTAGCCAGTTTTGCAGCGTCTTGGCCGAATTGCAGTCGCATTGGAGCTTGTTGCCCGCCAGATAGATGCGACGTCCCAGACCAGAGTCCATTAAGGCATTGTTTAGAAAATACTCAGGAATCTATGAGTGACGGTACTCTTCACTTTTTTGTCCGATCGGAAATGGGTTCTGCGTACTCACCTTGCTAAGCGAATTGTTCCGCATGTAGATGCGTTGGAAGGTTTCGATAAACTTGGTGCCCTCGAACTCGTAAATGGAGGATATTTGGTTGTTGTCGGCAACGAGACGGTTGATGTTGTGGTAGGTTGGATTCGTCTGGAAGTAGTCGCCCAACCTGGTTATTTTGTTATTCGTGATGTTAAGCATGAAGGTGTTGTCTGGCAGCCTTTGCGGCAGTTCCACCAGACCAAGGTTGGAGCAGTCGACATGGCACTGGGGCTTTGACTGGTTGTCCTGTATGATCATTATGTTCTCCAGGGTGCACTTGCAGTTGCCGTAGTTCGGGATCACCGGGCAATTGGTCAGACACCGCTTTCTGTTCTCCAGTTGCTCCACAGATACCTTGTCTGTGGACTGGAACCATGTACGGGTGGCGTTGTACTGGCAGTAGGAGTGCTCGGGGTTTAGAAAGTTGATGGACTCGTTGTAAATGATTTCGTTAAGTGGGGTACACAACATACGCATGTTGCCACTGAAAGTAGTTTTTGGGTTAATCTGTATTGCAGTTTTCTGTACGTTTGGTCATTTAGTGAGGCCTCACCTGATGTCCAACGTAATGTTCTTGTTCTGATTCCGGTGCGGCACCAGTGACAAATTGTTGTGCGACATGCCAAAGAACTCCAAATGCGGCACGTCCTTGACCGCCCGCGAATGGATCTCCGAGATGTTGTTGTTCGATATGTTCAGGCACTTGAGGGCCGAGAGTCGCGGAAAGGCGTTCACTAGGCGCGTGATGTTTCCATCCGTCACGGCGAGAGACTGCAGCGACCGAAAAATGGGATTAGACAGGTCCATGTCCTTAACAGTCATGTTGCGCACGTGCAGGTTGGTCCACTTGGATATGTTGCTGCAGGTCGAGATCATCGTTATTTGAGATATGTTGCAGCAGTACCACGAGTTGGGCCTGGCTGGGTGCTCCCTGCACTGACAATGGTTACCCTGCGTCCCACCATTCTGGGATTGCGAGTCCGACTGCATCGTTTTTGGGCTGGCGGGCTGGCCCTCGAGCGCCTCGGGCCGTCCATCGAAGCCGTGGCCACATACCTGCTCCTCGGCATGGAAGCAGTTCTTCAGGTAATCCGGCTGTTCAGGTGCAGCCGGCGAAGGGGGGGCGGCCGTTGTAGTCGAGGTGGAGGAAGGCGTCGAGTCGGCTGTTGTTGCGACGGCTGGCATCTGATTGGTTTCTGTCACGGCTCTTGAATTGGACGTAGTTTTCGCCACTGCTTCGACCGGACTCGATGCCGTCGTGGTTATTTCGGCCATGGTCACATTAGCGGGTGTGGATGTCCCTTGTTCACTTTCCTCAAGCGGGAGATGCGGGGAGGACTGCTCGTCCTGTGCTTCTTTTGGGCGCGCGCATGCTCCTGCAAAAAGGAGCAGCAGAGGAAGCCACAAGCCCTGTAATGACAATCAAATGGCACATTATTGAGAACAGAATGGACGCTCGGTATCGGAAATGGGGAAAGCTACCGAGTCAGACGTTGGACATATGCAAATATTTGCCAGACGCGTTTGTTTACGATTTGAATCAGCCCATTTGCCCCAGGCAGCCCAACAAGGGGCTTGGCTCGTCCTCCGGTCGCCGTAATTAGGGTAAGTGAGGCGCACCCTGAACCAGACTCGCCGAGAGGTCCGTAATTGTTTGTCCCACTCCGTTTTCGCGCCTTTTGGTTAGCTAATAGTGACACCGCTCCGCTAATTCGGCAATTAATTAACGAATCGAATCGGCCGTATGTGATAAAAGGCCAATAAAAAAATTAATTGTGTTGGGAAGCACAAGTGGGCGGGCAATTTGGTAATTTCTCGGTAATGAATGTGGTCTTAAATGTGTGATTAGGCTAGTCTAAAAACTTTCAAAAAAAACACAATTTCTATAAACTGTGGCGAGATCTATGATAACAAAGGTTGTATTTTACCTATTTGCTATTATTCTTCAAGTAGAACTATACGATTTGCGCCTGTCGAAAGGGCTCTGAGGATAACTGATACACTTTAAATTATTTAATTAAAACAGCACACAGCGGCATAAGCGCAAACTAGTAATTTACAAGATTATAAATACAATATCAGTATGCCCACACTCATACTGGCCTGCATGCGCATTCTACTTACGTAGGTGTACGCGAACATCGCCTCCCGAATTTAATTCCGCTGAGCTTGGAGCAACGCGACAGGATCGTTTACTTCTTGAAAAGTTGAGAAGGGAGCAACTGGACATCAAAGGAATCACACTCCGCGTCCACAATTTAAATGATCCCCATCCCACTTTCACCACAGAGAAACTGTTTCTCGGCGGTTTCATCAGCCTGGATGCTCTGCCAAGTGATCTCCCACCAATCCGATGTGTAAATTATTAGAAATACAAATATAATGTGTACAAATTGTACTTGATCTCTTAAAGTGTGTAACAAAAAAAAAAAATGGGAGCTGTTAAGCGTAGCAGAGGACTGTTAAATGGTCTGTTGGCCTCAACCTACCGATACAACTATCGATAAGTCGATAAGTCGCGGCGAACAGACCATTTAACAGTCCTCTGCTACGCTTAACAGTTCCCATTTTTTTGTTGTTAATTTCATACTTTAAGAGATCAAGTACAACAGAGTTCTTAGCAGTGTTTTAAAATGCTTTGCTATGCTTTTCGGAGGTACAGCCTTAATAAATTCGCATTCAGCCCAATAAATTTTCCAAATATATACATTTTTTTTTTAAATCAGTCAACAAGTGAGGAGAACCGTTAGCCTGGTTCACCTCTTATTATTGGATCATACAGAAAACAGTGCAGTTTTAAGTCTCTTTTTTGCAATTCATCGGAAACTTACAAATACTTGACATTAAAATGAGTCACAGCATTGACCCCCGTTAAAATAATATTTTATAAATTAGACTTATTAGGGATTTAGCCACAAAGCTTACAGTTTTTGGACCATCCTAATTTACATAGCACAAAATATAAAAACATCGACTGCCAAGGGCCAAGACGATATTTATCGATAGGCCATCGACATTTTCGCAGCTCTAATCTGGCGCTTTGCGATCCGCTCCATTGTTTTTTTTGAGTTAATTTGTGTAATTTTGACGTCCGTCCGGGGAACACCCAAAGAGCAGACGCCATTGTTTACGTTGTGAAGTCACAAGTTTGAGAGTCCGGAATCGACCGACTTGATCAGTGACACATTATCGAACCGATCGCATACGGGACAAAGTCTAAACAGGAACACGAGCGTTGCGCATTGCGAAATTCGGGCAGCACCACGTAGCCGAAAGATGCCCATAGATACGCGGGAGCTGATGGAGGCAATAGCCATAGTGGCGGACGAGCGCAATGTGCGCGTCACCGTGAAGCAGTCCGGCAAAGGAGCGGCCATTTGCGCCGCCTGCTCGTTCGCGGGTGGCATGCTCCTGGGTCCCGTGGGACTGGCAGTGGGCGGGGCAGCCGGCGGCATCGCCGCCTATAAGATGACTAGCGGTAAGCGGTGGTCACTTTACCTAGGGGTCCCTGTTATTGACCCAGCATTGACCATTATTTCCTTGCCAACAGGCTCTTTCAGACCACTCGGTGAAGTCATCCTGAACGACCTGACAGACGCACAGCGCGAGCAGCTGGTTCAGCACGTGTCTAAGGCTGTGGCCGACATACACCCTACCGACTTCGTGATGCTCCTGCCGCTGATTGTCCAAAACGCCTCCATCCAGCAGGCTGTGCTCAACACGGTCATGTCCTTTGTGACCAACGAGTTGCGCATGCAGATTGTCGATTGACCTGCTGCGTGGAGCAATGGGCGATGGCCAGGTAATTGCGAAATTCGGATTCGGGCATTCATTTTAGTCGAAACCTTTGTGATCTGTGTAGGTTTATTAATAAATACTCTATATGTACATAAACATTTGGGTCGTCCAATAGCGAGTGCGAAAGCAAACTACTCCCACTCGACATTGACCTGCTCCCAGTCGTCGACGAACGGCTGGTCGATGGTGTCGATTAGGAGGCAGCAGAACAGGCAGTCTGCCGCCAGGATGTCCTCGATCTCGGTCTTTAGTGCCGCTCGATTCCGTTGTATCTCCATCGCCTGCTGTTTGCCCAATGTGCTTGGCTGCGGCTGCGTCTGCGCCTCCAGCTGCTGCTTCAAAGTGGTAAGGCGCCGACCCTGCTCCTTGGTAAGCATCGGAACGACTTGCTTCTCCAAGCAGTCGCTGTGGAACTTATGGCCGCAAATGAAGACGAAGAAGGGCTTCAACAATAGCATCATATCACAGATGCCACACGTGTCCTGCGCGTTCATGGTGATGCTGTGCTGGCGCAACTGCTGCAACTCGGCGCCGACGCGGTCGGACTGCTCTTGGGTCTCAGCCATTTCGCGTTGCAACTCCTGGATACGATGATTGTAATCCTATCGAGCAATGGAACTGATTGAAACTGGAGCATCCCACATTTGAGCCTTTCGCTTACCCTTAAAGCATCGCAGATCGCCTCCTTGAAGTTGTCAATCTTCTCAAAGTCGGAAAAGAATGGCAGCAGGTCCTCGATGCGCAGAAGGTCACACTCCTTGAGTAGGTTCAGCGCCTTTTTAACGTCGTTGGTTCCCTTTATGTCGTGGTATGCTGAAAGTAAATGAGCATTAGGTGTATTTATTTGATACGTGGCACTACATTGAATTATGATACCAATACGAAGCCAGAGCTTGCGGCGCATCTTGCTGTCCGACGGTCTCGAGGCAGTCTCCTTGGCTAGTTTCATGTCGAACTTCAGGGCCAGGTCCACCGCGGAGACCCATTTGCACAGCATGCACTCCAGAAACACGCAGGCTTCCTTCACGTTAAGGTCGGTGCACACCTTCAGGGCGTAGTGGATGTCGTAGTGCACGAGGCTCTCGTCACGGCCCTGGATCTCGAGGTACTTCATAAGCAGCTTGGGCTCGTGCTCCGCGTACAAATGCAGAAGGAAGTTGTGGATGGCGTCATTCGTCGTGTTGAGCTTGTAGATGGCGAACTCGAGGTATCGCTGCGTCTGCTCCCGCTGCTCTCGAGTTTCCATGACGATGAGCGTGGACACCAGCTTCTCGACCTCCAGTCGAGGGCCCTGGGCAATTAGGGCGTCCACTGTGGGCCTCGGCAGCTTCACTATCAGTTCGGGCGCGTACTTGTAGAAGAGTTCTGGATTCCTCTGATTGTTCAATGTTTGCAGTGCCTCGGCAAAACGCCCAGCCTTAAGCTGCTGTCCCACCACTTCCTCATAGTCTCCGATTGCAATGGCGAACTGGGCCATGTTGTGGGGATCCGCGTGCTCGGCGATTAGCTGCTGCACGGCCTTGCGATTAAGACGCGTGCAGGTGAGAACAGGTGCCTCCATCATGAACTCGTCGTACTCCGTCTGCCACGCCCTGCGCCACTCCTCGCTCTGGTCGGGCATGTTGATCTGGATGAGGTAGAGGTCGATGAGCCAGATTACCAGAGCCTTGATGGCGTTCGCTTTGTCCTGGTCCACAGCCTCCATATCTACTGGCTTGGTAGTCAGCCGGCTAAGACGCTTCTTAACGTAATTGATGATGGGTCTCTTGTCCGGAAGCACCATGAACTTCAAGCACACCTCCTCGAAGGACTTCTCTGTCTCCGCGTAGTAGTCAGCCGCCACCTGGTAGGATCCGTCTGTGAAGGCGGCGTCTGCCCGCTGGCCGAGCACGAGCTGCAAGTGCTCGGGGTCTTCAGCTGCATGCGCCGTGGCCAATTCGTACTGACCCTTGTCTAGGTAGATGCGCCATACGTTTCGCTCCTCGCGCGTAACCCTGAGGTTGAACACAGTTTTAGTGGTGTAAACGTATATGGCGCCAGTGAGTTCGTCCCTTTCGATGTTCAGCGGCTTGCCCACCCGGGACTCGTCGAAGGATTCGTGGTAGACCTGCTCCTGGTTCAGCAGGCAAATTGCGCGTATGTGGTCCGCGTACAGCAGCACGGCGTGGTACTCCGTCAGCACGAACGCCTTGGGAATGTTTAGACGCCGTTCCTCATACGACAGGTGCATGGCCTTGTCGAAATCCAGGTTGATCAGCGTGCTCCCTAACAGGGTGGCGGCGCTGTTGCCCTCGATTGAGAACTGAAAGCGGAAACCAGAGCTGTTAGTGGACTAGTGCTGTCGTCTGGAGCAACTACTCACCTCGCCCACACGGATGCCCTCTCCACAAAGCCACGCCCACTGCTTTGGATACTTGCTGTTGGGCGGCGCAAATAAGCGCAGCTGCGAGTAGGTCAGATCAGTCTTCCGCTCCTCGGAGTGCGGCTCCTGCACACCGCTCACGTAGCCTGCGAATATGGGCTGCAGGGAGCGCTCCTCGGCCTTCAGCGTCTCCTGGAATGTGTAGATGCACTCTGGACTGGTGACCAAGATTATGTAGCGGCTGCTGTTCGGCACCCGCAGCAACTTGAGGCCTGTAATGGGGTATTTCGAACGACCCAGGCCCAGGTCATAGAGCTGCTTGCGTTGGACGTGGCCATCGGCGGCGGCACTTAGCTCCGTCTCGAAGATTAGGCCGCGACTGGTGCCGAGCAGGATGGGGCCAGTGGTCGACTCGTTGCCATGGTAGGGATTGAATGCCACGGCCGTGATCTCATGATCCTTGAACTTCTCGATACGCCTCACCTTCAGCTGCTGCGCTTGTGGCGACTCAAGGCAGTGGATGTACAGGAAGTCCGGCGAAACGCCGGCCGAAGCGGACTTTGGGACCAGCGCGATGATGAGATGGTGGCCGGTGGGGTCAAGGAAAACCCTAGTTATCTTGTAGCCGGACCCCGAGAGGTACTTCTCTAGGGTTACCTCTGCCCGGACAAAGACACCAAAGAAGCTTGATCAGGATGAAAAACAGGTATTTTCAGTACACTTACCGCCTGGCGGAATCGCGCGCGGCAGGAAGAAGCGCAGAAGAGTGGTCCGCTCCGCTGTGCCTAGCAGACAGACGAGCCAGTTCCGCGAGACGACCAGGTGGATCAGGTCGCCGGTGCAGTTGCTGGGCACACGCAGCACCATCTTGTGCCTGCTGAAGATCTCCTCTTCGTCTGTCTCGAAAGGATTGCCGGAGGCGGTCGCCACGTAGTTCTTGCCAGCGACCGAGGCGTTCCGCTCGATGCGGGGCAGGAACTTGGGCTGGTTGGGCATTGCCTGGGCCATTCTTTTGCACAATGTTTACTTCTTCCCTATACCCAAAATAATATTACGCCCACACAGCAGAAGTGATGGCACTCGGAATATCGATTAGAGGTGGAAAAACGTCAATGTATCGATGTTTTTAACAATTTTTGGAACGTCGATGTTTTGTGGTTGACATCGATGTTTTTGCCCACTGCGGTAAACCTTTTTATATATAATATATTTATAAAATCAACCGAAATGAACCCGAATACTGCGACCCATTAAAATTATGGAAATGGGTATCTAACAGTCGGGGAACACGCCTATAGCGTTCATTCTTGTTCTGTTTTTATTTCACGCCGAAGCATGAGCCTTTCATTTACGTGAATTTTATGTTGCCAGTGTATTATATCGCAAAACATTTTATTTTTTAATTTCAATGTTCAATGACCTTACAGCGACAAGCAATCGGCCGGCATGGCCTGGCGAAGTTGGAAATCGAAACACAGAAGCGATGAGCCAATCGACTTTTAAATTTACAGCCGTTATACATTTGCAAGCTGCGGCTTTTTTGCAGTGATCCTGGGATCTATAGAAATATCCGAAACGTCCCAAAACCAGTGAAATACGAATCTATTAATTGTTTTTAGTTTTATTAATAATTTGTGTTTTCTTTGTATACATGTAATTATATTATATTATTTATTTATATATAATTATGTTGAATGAGCGCTTTACGGCCGTCAAATGGGGTCAGTACACTTCAGCATGCGAAATGCAATCCGTTTTGATAAACGGATTGATCTATTACACTCTGACTTGATTTATATTTGTATTTTTCGATTTAACTGCTTCTTTACTGCATTGCTTTGAAACTGCTGTGTTGTGTCACAGCGTAAGCTTGCTTCGTAGCACTGCGCCCAGAAGGGTGTTGTTTGATTTTCCAATAGTGTAAGTAATAAAAATGTACAGTTAGTTTGTATACATGTATGTTTTTATGCATGAAATGAGTTTCTTGTTATTTGTGCAATTTATTTACTAACGTGTAATTCTTTGCTTGACTTCATGATAAATATGCATCTGCTTTTTCCTTTAAATTCGGACTTTAAAAGTGTTCGAAATTACAGATATATTATGTCTAATAAATCCTAAAAAAAAAATGTTTTTTATTATTATTTTTTCAGGTTCCCTTCGAATACAACTAGCATTAAACGTGCGTTGATTTGTATCGCTGAAGGATGCGTCTGCGTGTTAGTTAGTGTATCTATATCTGCATTTCAATCCGAATCTCTGTCGGGTCACCTTGGCTGCCTTAGTAAAATATGCATGTGAGTATGTATTGCCGAAAGTATGAAAAAATGCAATCGCATATACATAGTATTTGGCTATTAGATAAAATCCAAAGAGTTCGTGTTCCGAGTCTGATTCACATTCATTTCTTTTTGTTTCGGTTTGCTCGTAATTAAGCTTAAACATCGTTATCGCTCACTTGGCGTTATATATTTAATTTTTAAAATTTAAATTTTGTAGTTAATCACAGATTTTTGTTTTTAATACCGAAAAATTAAATTAATAAACAGCGTAGTTCCGAAATGCATTTGGCTTTGTCCAATTTTACATATGCACACATGCCTGTACACATATAAATATTTATATATATAATATATATGTATGCATATGTACTTTTTATATTATAATAAATAATTTCGACTAATAATTTGCAATTATCTAATTGTTTACCGATTTAAGTTTTGTGTTCGAATTTGTAATAATTTTTCTTTCCTATCGTATTGGATGCTTGTGATATGCGTTGCATTTTTTTCTTTAATAATTTCATTTTTTTTCGATCATTAAAATTTTGCCCACACATATGTACATGTACAAGGTACTTGCTCGTGTGTGTGGTTTCTCTAGCATAGAAGAGTGACAGATAACAACAGATAAATATATAGTTAGATAGATATTTAGTGACTACCAAACATATCTGGTGTCTTTTCCTTAATGCATTTGAGTATAGGTCTGTTTCGGGTGGGGAAAGTGCGTCAAATGTTGGTATACATATACGTTTCTATTTCTAAGAATATCTTTATACGAGCATTAGAGCTATGAACTACATTAATATGATTCAAAATCGTCTTATTAATGGTACGAATATAAACGTTTATTTTGGCCATGCTAGATCCTCTCATTAGTAATTCGTCTGTTTCATTACTGATTGCGGATAGCTGTAAGTACGATCTTAGTGCGATGAGGCGATTCTGGCAGGGGTATGGGCAACCTAGAAGGGTCTTACAAGTAGTTTTTTTCCCTAAATTTTCCCGATGTTTCGATTCATGGTGGTCAAACAAAAGGCTTTAAAATTAAATAAAATAGTAACAAAAAAAGTATATGTATCTAATTCCCAGCTCGTACACCTCTGTGGCGTACCGTTTTGGGCCGAGGAAAATAAATTTTGAGGTTATTTTTTTGTTTGAAGTGATTTGTTTATTGTGTATGCCAAAAAGTATAATTTTGAATAGGTTTAACTGGATACATAACCAATACGTGTATAAAAGAAGGTGCACAAAAAATAATACAAAAGTTCGCATTCACAGTTTCGTAGAGTATCTAAACATAAATTTTGCGAGACAGATCTTGTGTCTCGTTTGAGGTAAAATATTTATAAAATATTAACAGCCAAAAGGAATTTCGTACAAAGAAAATAAAAATTTTCACACGTCAAAGATTTTTAAGATCACAGTTTGTTTTGCATTTGCATTATTTTTCGTTTTTTGTCTCTGCTTTCCTTTTTTGTATTCGTAAAAAAAGGGAAAAAAGAAGTACGTCTTACAAATTTTAAGAAATTATATACTAGAATAAAATGTAATTTCATTAAAGTTCAGAATAACAAATTATAAAATACATTAACATTATGGTTTTTAGTGTACAAAAAAAAACGTATAAATAACTGAAATGTAAATGTAAATGTAAATGTAAATGTAAGTGGACAAATTAAATCTATGTAAAGAAAAAGGGAATCTTAGGACACTCCACTGGGGAATGAAAAAGTGCCATTTAGCTCGTCCCTCCTATTTTACCTATCCCAACCTTTTTTACAACCTTCTCTACGCGACAGCTCACAAGTATGTGCAAGGTTGAATAAATTAATTAAGACTAAGTCTGATCTACAGTGCGCACCTCCTCGATATTGATGTATGATTACTTAAAACGAGCCTGAGTACGCTGTTAGCCATATATTTTAACCTGGATGGAACTTCGCATCAACGCTGATAAGGAAAGAGACCTTGTGAAACCTTATGCTGATCACCAATCCCTATTACACTCTGTGGAAGTCTGATCCCGGTCTTTCTATCCCTATTCTAAGGGTTTTCTCTGGATAGCATGGCACAAAGAACAATAATTACTTGCCTACAACTGTTACTATTCCTACTGATGCAATTCGTATTTATATTTTTTACTGCCCATGATGCTGCACCTATAACTATGTTTTTTTGCGAATGACAAGAAATCGGAATACTCGCACTTGATGATGAAGATGATATGCCCTAATACAGGTGTGTTGATTGGAAGATTTTGTAGCTGTCTTTCTAGACGTTTTTGCAGTACATAAGTGTGTGTTATAATATAACGTGTAAATTGGTTAAATGTAAGAAATTCCTGAGACATTGAATTGATACACAATCTTCGTGTTTCTTTTTCTTATTGACTTTGATTTTTTTCGTAACACATATGTTCGTGGGTACTTTTTTTCATTTCTAGTCTGAGTGGGGGCAGTTTTTTTTCTATATATATCTGTTCTAAAGGGCAGTATCTGAAGTGCCATGAATAGAAGTTGGTATGCAGCTCCCCCGAGAGGTATGTACAATGTTCAGAGGTGCAACCTGTTGCTATTTCAGTTTCTGCTCTTGTTGCTCTCTTGCAGAAGCTGGGTCTTCGCATTTCTTTTCCTAAAAACATACTCTGCGCTGGTATTTAATTCTCCTTTTCATTTAACATTTTTCTCCTCTTCGGACTGAGACTTGTTATTAGATATAATTTCAGAACATTTGTACTTCGCTGGTGAAAAATCACTGAGTTACTTTGCGGTTTTGTTTAATGCGTTAATCCTCGATTTGCAAAAATGATTACAGCTCTTCTATACACCACACGTACTAGTACTGGTGCCTGTGCGTTTGTAGTTGTGTATATATTGTATATGGTAAATGATGTAAAGTATATACATGTACATATACATAGACTTTAATATAGTTGTTTTCTTTGCTTACACGTACGCATATGCACGTTTACACGCGTGTATATGTGTATATATATAAAAAGTAATTTTAATTTCTGTTACTTTATTCTTCGTACATGTGTATTAGTAGAAAAAGGACTTTTCCACTACATACTTGATATTTTATCCCTGATAACGTTTTACTTTTGTATGTTGGTTGGTTTTGTTTGTTTGCTTATTACACTTCTCTCTGCTCTGTAGACTTCATGTTTAACATTAGATTTGCGTTAATCTTACATTAGTCTTACATAAGTCCTACATTTACAGATAGGTTCCTTTAAAAAAATTACACACAAATCTTACTCTACTCTGCCGCTGATCCGCAGAATCTTCATATCTGTTTTTACTGGATTCCGACTCTTTAGAGAACGCACCATAGTGCAGCAGTTGGCAAAAAAAAAGTTAAGATAATGGGTAAAATCTAGCAAAAAAAAAGTTACATATGTATGCATCTATGTATGTGTTTACATTTTTGTTGTATGATTGTGTGTGTGCCTGTTCGCGTTGCTGTTGGTGTGTGTTTAAACCAAAACAACAACAAACTTGCGCTGGACTGCGGTGGCAGGGCGTGGCGGGGACGGGGACGAAGCGTAGGTGCCGGATGCGACCGGCAGGTGGCTCAAACTCTATTTAAGATTCGATTGCGATTTGGGATGCAGCTTCAGATTAAGATTCAGTTGCGATTTCATTTGCAGCTTCGTGATATGTACCGTTATTGTTAAATTCGCACAGCGCCAGTCCCTGCCCTCAGACGCGCCCCCAGCATTTCGGTTTGTGTGTTCTAGTCCTTCGTTCTCTTCCCATTTTGTTGTCGTTAATGGTAATGGTAACATAACTCTTATTCTAATAA